CTTGCATACAACTGCCTGTAATTCCACACACAATTTTAATTACGAACCAGCATCTGCCTACATACTTAAATTCTGGGGTCAGATTTATCTGGATATTGTCACCCTTTATCTTCCCCATGATTTTGAAAGCATCACTTACCTGTCCCCAGCTCTTCTCTCATTGTAGTTAGTGTATGTAACCGAGGATGGGCTCATGAAAAAGGTATCATTACAAGTGATGGTCACAAGAATTAAAAATCAAATCCTCACACTTAAATCTACTTTTTGAAACATTTAAAAGACCACCTGAGCAGCCTAATAATGAAAAAGAACCAATTAGAGTATTCATATAGCAAGAAAATGAAAGCAGTGTGATATCCACTATGCTGTGTTGTTGCAAACAGCACAGCTTAGTGGTGCCATTAATGGAAATGTTTTCATGAGAGGCGCAGAATACTAGTTTTTTTAATGCCTGGAGTATTTGTATTCTGAAGTATCTTTTAAATAAAAAGATAAATGAATGCTTTCAGATTCTGTTACCAGTGAACCAGAAAATAAGATGGTATTTCCAATTCATTTTGTGCGTTATTTGTATGGATGATTGAAGCTTTTGAAAATTAAAATGCTTAACAAACAAAGATCCATGTTTATAATTTATAAATAAATGGCCAAATATTTAGTTTTTATTTACATTTTTAACTATAAACTTAAGTCTATTCATAATGAAATATATATATTTAAATACAAAGATGGGTCACAATACATTATGTAGATGTCTGTATTTTTAAACTATTTTCTGTTTTGAAATGGTGCTGATCTTAGCAGTAACACAGACACTTTAAGGTCATTTCAGTCTTAAAGAAATTTGTGTCTCTGTGAACAGAGAAAGAGGGGGGTGCTGGATTCTAAGGAGGCACGGGAAATGGGAAAACGGTGTGGTAGGAACGAAGGAGATTGTGGTTGAAAATATCCACTTTCACATTTCATTTTCTTTTTCCCCAATCCAAAGTAAAAACAAGTTCAAGAGGAATCTGTAGACACAATCGAAGAGAACTGACAGTCAATAGAATATTCATTTCCGCTTCACAGACACCCATGTGTCCCTCTTTAAAAATCCCAGTCCCCTGTCTATTTAGAACGGCCTGCAGTCAACTTGACTTAACCTCACTCACCGTTTCTACTTTTCTCCCAAGCCATTCATGGTTAATAACTTTTTCAAGATTCCTAATGTGACGAGCATTTCTGAGATAGGTCCATCTGCCTCTCATACCTAGTTAATCACAGAAGAGATTCATCAAAAGTCTGTTCACAGTCCCCTTTTAAGCTGTTCTCAGTTTTACTCACCACATGCCTAGAAACCTCCACAACCACAATGATGAAAGAACTCAACGATGTGTCTTGCACTGGCCCCTTCTCTCCTTCTTCACTGTACCCACCCTGGTCAAGGCACTGCAGTCCTTGTGGAAATACCCAAAGCCTTGCTGCTAAGTGCGTTCTTGGCCTCTACCCCCCCGCCATTACCCTGCTTTCCAATGCCAGCACAGGCCAGATCTGCTCTCTACTCAAAAACCCCTGATACCTGCTGGATATCATGCAAATTTATAATGTTCAAGGTATTTCCCATCCCTCCTCCCATCTCTCCTCATTAGACTCTAACTCCAACCCTCCATTCAGGATAAACAGATACACTTGTCAATCCTCCACATATGTTCACTTAGGTTCAGCACTGTCCCTTAGCTCAGCATCCCCTTGTCTGTACCACCCCATCCCTCTCCATGTCTTTTCCACCTGCCTCTTTGCCTACTAAACTTCTACCTTCAAGGCCAGTGTGACAAACCTGCTCTTGATTGGCCCAACAGGAATGGTCTCCTCTTGGAGCAACCTTCTGCTTCACCACATTTACAGTGAGCTTCCTCTTACACTTAGTCATATACCCCTTTCTCTTCTTAGATTCTAAGCTTTGGAGCAGGACCCGTAATTTATTCTTCTTTGCATACAGCTAAATATCACATACTGTGCCTTTCACACAATAGGGACTCCATCAATACTGACTGAATAAATGAACAATAGAAGTGCAAAGAAGCTATTTATTTAGCTGAAAACTTTTACAGGAGGGGCGCCTGGGTGGCTCAGTCGTTAAGCGTCTGCCTTCGGCTCAGGTCATGATCCCAGGGTTTATGGGGATCGCATCGGGCTCCCTGCTCCGCGGGAAGCCTGCTTCTCCCTCTCCCACTCCCCCTGCTTGTGTTCCCTCTCTCGCTGTCTTTCTCTCTGTCAAATAAATAAAATAAAATCTTAAAAAAAAAAAACCAAAAAACAAAAAACAAAAAAAAACATTTTGAAAACTTTTACAGGAGATTTCTGGTTTCATTTTGAAGGAACTCAGGTAAATGTCTAAATTATCTCAACTGTGTTTCTTTAAACAGGGTATGGATTTATATATGCAAGTTCCAGGCTAGCGTATTTTAAGTCGAGAAAAAAGAAAGAGTTTCTTTACAATAGTGTTTTCTTCAAAGAAGATATAGATCATTCAAGACACTGGATTTTTCACTTATTTTGAGGATCTTTTCAAAGGAAAGTGGTACTTTGAAGCAGTAAAGTTGTGACTTGGGCGGAGCAAGATGGCAGAGGAGTTGAAGCAGTAAAGTTGATATAGCTATTTATTTGTGTTTTTTTTTTTTTCCTACCAACTCAGCTAAGGGAAATCTTAGTTTATATTGGCTGAATCAGTGACATGACTTTTAAGGATAAAACAATTTGAGAAGCTGAAAATCAAAGGTGCCCATATTTTTACCACTGTGTGTATAGATTTTGAACAAATGTGATTAAGAATTCACTTTTTAAAATTCAGTGGAACACTAGTAACCCAAATGTCAGAAAATATGCCATATTATAAAATAACCATGCTTATATCATACTTTAAAGATGCTAGGAAGCATGATGTAATTCATGGTGTCGGGGTAATCTTTCAACCTTACCTTTTTCTTTTTCTCTCATTCCTTCAACACATGGATTAAATGGCTATTAAATGCCATGCAGTATAGCACAGAAATACACAGTGAGCTCAAAAAGACAAGGTCCTTGTGTGAATTCTGCTTATATTTAGTCCTTTTTTTAAAGATTTTATTTATTTATTTATTTGGGGGGGAGGGCATAGGGGGAGGGAGAGGGACAAGCAGACTCCATGCAGAGTACAGAACCCAACCCGGGCCTCGATCTCACAAGCCTGAGATCAGGACCTGGGCTGAAATCAAGAGTTGGATGCTTAACCAACTGAGCCACCCAGATGCCCCATATTTAGTCCTTTCTTTGCACAAAATTTAATAGTTTCAGAACTGAAGCCATTGGCATTCCCTAAAACCAGCTCTTCTGCTTGAGTTTGTAATTTTGGCTGACAGCATTATTTCTCTATTTGAAGCCACAGAATCGCCAAGGCCCTCAATATGTGTCACACAAACTACTGCAATATTTTCCCAATTATGTGTACTAACCTCAGTCTTTTTATACTTGAAGGCATTACACAAATGTCTGGATTCTTTTTATACTTGAAGGCATTACACAAATGTCTGGATTCAGCTTCTTAAGCTCATCACTTACCTAAGTAAGGACTAATGACTCCAACTGACTCTTGAGGCAGTATATAAAATCGTCCCAATCTACTTTTCTCATCTTAATAAGCCATGTTTTTTTTCTTTTTTTTTTGGTAAACCCACCCTCAGCTTCACTCAAACTCAATTGTTTGCTATCCTAAATACACCTTACCCATTTCTTCTTCTGTATATTTACTCAAGATATTCTTCCATGGGACCTACTCTTCCTTCCCTACACAACCTTTGAGACTGAGATGTCCTTTAAGAAAGATCTTAAACAGTAATTTCTCTATAAAGTCTTGTAGGATTTTCACAGCTGTCTGAGCTTTGTCATCCCTGAAAACCCGTATTTCATGATTTGTATTTTCTAAGGAACTCCCACATTCTGCTTCACTCTAATAGTCCAATAGACAATGTAATCCCAAGGCAGAGGTAGCTTTATTTACCATTGCTCAGAGTAGGTACTCAAAAACTTTTATTTGCTTGTTGATATTTCCAGTTACAAAGCTTATCCTGAATCCTACATAATTCTAAGTCTTATATTAAAATATGGCAGTAGTGATCAACATGATTCTCCTACCATTTGGAAGAGCAGTAATGAAACCAGTGAAGGAAAAGGACTCTGGTCTTTGGTGCATTAGGCATGGGCACTCTGCAGATTTCCTCCCAATTCTGGATTTCTTTTAACTTACTTCTTTACTTAGGCTTCCAATTTTTATGTTTTTATGTCAGAATACAGGGATATTCTCTGGCCTTTTGCTTATCTCTGCTAGTAGCACTTAAGGATTACATTTTTTTCTGACTTCTGGGATATACTATAAGGAACAATAATTGCCTTTCTAGGGTATTGCTAATCTCTAAAGTAACCTCCAAAGGTTGTGCAGAAAAATAAAACTAAAAGATTACAAACTGAATCTCAGTGCTTATTTTTAAAATTCAAATGAGTGCTCAGTCAACATAAGTGGCATTAAAGGCGTTGGGGGAGAACCCAAATAATTAAAGCTAATATACATGAGGTGGGGTGTGTCTATATATATTTACACCAATCAATTCTATATATTAAGAGAAAAGAAAAATACTGTAACAACTTCCTTAATCACCTTTTTTGTTTTTTCTAGGTCTCTTCCCATGTATGCAGTCTTACCATATTACCAAAAATGAATTAAAACATAGAAGGAAAAAGAATGGGGAAAAAAGTAGAAGGAAAATGGATGAATCTAAGCTGAAAATTATTATAACTACATTTTTTTTCTTCTGAAAAGTTTTTCTAATAGCTCTACTCTTTCTTAGGTTTTATTTACACCCATGACTTTGTGATAGAAGACAATGGTTTTCCCAATAAGTGCCCCCTTGAAATGTAAAGTAAATTAAAAATAATAACTATAGTGAAACTATATATTATTTAGGGTGAATGGGTAGAAAACCACTTACCCCCAGTTGCCACAGTGATTTCACGTAGGAAATGGCCATAAAATGGAAAATCGAAGGACAGATTCACTCTCTGCAAGGAACAACAACCAGAAAAGAAAATCAATAATGTGCATAATAGTAAATGTAAAATGAAAAGTCTTCCACTTAAAAAAAAAATGATGCTTCTACTTTGCACCACTATGATTGCAGTTGGCTATTCGATCCTGAGTCCTAGATGGTAATAAAGGATTTCTTTTTTTTCTGGTAATTAAGTGTTTGAAGTATGTGAGAAGAAAAAAATTTGCACTGTTATGGTCTGTTGGTCTGTTCTTCCCTTACAGAGGAATCTGGAAGTTTCCACTGTGATTCAAGCTACTCTCTCTTAACATCACTATTGCCTTTTAGGTGTCCACTGAGAATTAGTTCAGTTATCATGGTGACCAGTTTATTTCATGGTTCTTTTTAGTTTGATTAGTTTTCTCCAAAATAGTAGAGCATGTTATCTGTCAGGTTTCATTGGATACAACATCAAAAAAAATGATTTTATACAATTATACATTCAATTTGTCTTCTGTATCTCCCATAATGAAAGGCAGTTTCATGGAACAAAATACCTTGCACTGTGATCGAGACCTGCAGATATTTTTATTTTTGGTGTAATGAGCTCTCCAGATTCAGTTTATTACATCCACTTTCAAAAGCAGAGTTGAAGAATAAAAAATGCTGGTTACTGGAGAACTACTTTTCCTTTGCATAGAAGAAAACTGGAGAGACTTAAGAAGAAAGCTCATAAATTTCACCCTTCTTTTTTTCTAAAAAGGGGACTGAAGCTTTTTTATTTATATGTATTTTAATTTATTAGTATATATATTATATATTTATATTATTTACAAGATATATATTGTTTTATATATCATATATATTTATACATTAAAAATATATACAATTTATACAATAAATATATATACATAATATATATAGTAAAATAAAAACAAAACACAACAAAGCAAAATAAAAACCCTAGACTTTTCATGGTGAAGTGATATGAACCAGATATATTATTATTAGCAAAGAAGCAAGAAAAACAGTGAGTTATAACAAAGATGACCAACTGAAATAAAAGAATCCTGAGGGACTGTAATTAGCTGGTTTAGAGCCCCACAGCACATACAAACTACCTATAGCAAAAGGCCTTTTTGTTAAAATTCAACAATCTCTATATTATAGCTTTCCCAATATACAAATTAAAAAATATGGAGATGTATACCTAGATTGAATTTTGCTCATTCCAATTTTGCAAATGATTGCTTTTTTATATCCATCAGAGATTTCTAATGACTTATTTTGGCATGAAATTAATGATTCAAAATTTACAGTAACTTTCAATTAGTTTTTCATCCTTCCTTTTTAATGAAAGCTGCATCTTCAGAAAGGGATTATCACCATTTTTATTTTTTTGCTAACTAACGGGAACAATAAAACCCATTTTCACTGCACTAACTGAAATGAGTGGTCACCAATAACCCTCAAATAAAAGGTTTAATGGCAAAATCATGTATCTCACAAAAGGCATCAAAAATAATTTTATAAAGGAACTTGCTGTGGTGTATTGTTCTTCATCATTCTAATCTATTTCCATATTCATGGGCAAATTGGTAAAATTTATCACTTTGGCATCCTCACTTCCAGAGTAGAAGTTGGGTTTAAACATATATCACTAACAAACTCTATCAATTACTACCACAGATGAACCAGAAGAATATGACATTAGTTTCTCAGCCACCACAAATATTTCAATATTTTTAGAAGAAGACTGAGAAGCATAAATACATAAGTTAAAGACTTTTTTTTGAGAAGTAAATAAGCTCTCAAAGAAAATTTGCTACTATATTATCATGAAGAGTAATATCAATGATTGAACTGTTTCCCAGCTTACCTTAGTTACCACCATGACTGCTTCACGGACACTGCTAAGGAATAGCAATGGAAATTTAGAAAGAGCTACCTTCTCAATACTTGTGAAATCCACCCATTTTTTCTGTGGGTAATAGTTCCCAAATGTAGGTGCCTAATAACTTCTTCATAGTGTGTTGGCTCTATTTTCCCTAGAATTCGTTCTCCATACTATCTTGGATATCACTCTCCCACTTAAGATCATTCAATCTAGATCCCACCGTCTCTGCCATCATATCAAAATAGTGACCAAGAGTTCTAAGGCCCAACAGTAACTGGTCCCTGCTACCTCACAAATTTCCCTTCCCATTTTCTGCTCTAGCCAATCTTCTAGAACATCCTTTAGTTCCTTGTAACTGTCACCTTTAAGTCTTGGGTCTGGTACTGCTACATGATCTCTTCTGACTGCCATAGTCTCTCAACCTTGGTTGGCCATGGCTTCCATATTCTTTAAGCCTTGGCTCAGTTTGGTTGGTGCTCCAAATATCAACTCTGATATAAAGATTTAGGGGCGGATAGTTTGTTTGGAAGGTGATCAAGATGCATTTGCTAAAGAAAGTGGGAAAAGTGAGACAAGGAAAGAGAAACCAGTGATAGATACATTATTAGGTATGTTACTGCTCTAGTTAGTTCTCCCCTTGGAGAACCTCAGAGAAACAATAGAAAAGACATGCCTCAGAATCTTTTGTTTGGAGGTCAGGAGGCTGGGACATTTATCCATGAACTCCCATCTCCTACAGAATGGAGGCTAACTCGCCCCTCCACCAGACTACCCATGCTTGCACCCTCAGGCAGAAAGAAGAGACACAGTACTTAAGCTGGGAAGTTGCTGATGTGTTAGAACTGCCTCCCATGGTTTCAGATGAACTCAGGGAGGCAGAAGGAATATGAAGAAGCATCAACAGGCACTAGCTAGGATCACATCCAGAAAGTCCTACTTTGACCTCTTAGCTCAAGTTATGTCTTCTTACTATATCTTACCTAACATTCTCTCTCTATATACACACACATAAAGCAACTGCTTGAGATTCAAATAATAACTGTATCAAAGTGAAACTAACTCAGCATCAGAGTAGTTAAAAATGGCCCAAGAGGAAAACTAGAATTGGAACCTGGGTTTGATGGACAACAAAGACAATGGTTCTAATTACCGAGATTAAAACAAAGTGATGAGAAAAAGGCCTTTATTTTTGAAAGGCAAATTTTTGAAAATTATTATTATCCCTCCTTAAAACACACACATACAATCAAACAATATGAAAACAAAAACAAACATAAAATGCACTAGAATTTTATGACGTGCTTTGAAGCTAAATGATTATATATTCAATATAATTACCCCTGGATAATTGGATTATTATTTTGTCTCAGTATGATATATAAAACAGGCATGAGGGGAGCTGAAGAAAAGTTTTATTTGTTCATTCATCCAGTTGACAATCATTTATTTAACACTATATATGCCAGGCCATAAATCAGGGTCTGGGGATAAAAGTCAGTAAGTCCCACCCAGTTCCTTCCTTCAAGGAGTTCACAAAGTGGTGCAGGGGAATATCACATAGTGATAAACAGCAGGACTAGGCAGGGGCAGAGTAAGGACAAAGAGAGGCCACCTATCCCAGAGCAGATGGCACTAACACTGACTCTTCTAAAGAAACAACCAGAAGTTAGCGAGATGAGACCTTAAGCCACGAGAGCAGAAGTGATAGGTCAAAATATAGGTAGAAAGTAAAACCAGAAGGACTTCGTGATTATTGGAAGGACACTTACATTGGGAGTGAAGGAAGATACTCTAGAAAAAAGGACAGGTTTCTAACTGGGTGGCTGAGGGACACAGCACCACCAATTGAGAGAAAGAGGACAAGACAAACAATTATTTTGGTTAGGTGTGAGAAGGCTCATTACTTAATCATCCTTCAGCTACATAATAAAAGTAAATAAGAACGAACCCAAATTGTATATGCAACAAGGAACTCTTCTGCAACCAGAAAGGCTAACAGAACCCTGGAATTTGTCACAAAAAGCCACGATAAACAAAAGCCAACAGAATATTGAAACTACAGTGTAATTACCATACTTTGCACATTATCCTGTCTTGGATCTCATCCCTTAAGCAATATATCATGCAAAGGGAGGAAGGGTTCAGCAAACCTGTCATGTGATTATTAATTAATAGTCTGGGAAAAATATAAAAGCTCAGAAGTGAAATTTTCAAGAGCATGTGTGACATAAATAAAATCAATTGAATTTGCTACTTCTTTATACTCTGTAGAAAGCAGTGAATTATTTGATAGGAGAAATGATAATTTTGAGACAAGCAAGCACATATGACTTCTTCATATGGGGGAGGATAAACTTATAAAACATTCTTTGAAGAGTTTGTAGAAGTATATAAATAGATCCCAGGTGGTCTGGTGCAGATTTATGGCAGGTACAGCCATGTACGACTGCGACCTTTAAAACCACATCATGCTCTCCCACAACATACCCCATGAAATTACTCTTGGGAACAGACTATCAGACTCAATCAGGGCCATCCTTCCAGATCTCTAAGTGTGTCTGCACCTCTTATTGCCTCTTCTACATATTTTTCTTATGCCAATTGCTATTTGTTTCAGACTAATTATTATGATCTCTGCTAATTCTTTTTTAATAACACAGGAATTGTAATCCTAAGTAAACACTATTCCAGTTTAACTTGTTTGCCTATTTCTCCATGGTATTACAACGATAAATTAATTTGCCAATGCCTATAACACCTTGAAGACAGAAACCTCCTAATATGAGTTAAGTATGTGGAGTGGGCACATTTATCATCCTAAAAGCCATTTTTTAAAATGTCATTAATAAAAACTGCTTTTTAATTTTAAGATAACTTGTTTTTTTTAAAAGACATTTTCTTATATACAGTAATAAAGATACACTTTCCTGGTTCCCCCAAGTCTTTATTTCATTTGTATAAGACATAATCCTGGTGAAAAGCTTATGGCAAGAAAATTAGTAGTAACTAAACTTTAAGTAATTGCTGATTTCATGGGTTCATGATAGCAAAGGGTCCAAAGAATTTAGGGAGTATTCATTTATTTGAGAATGAATTCATGAATCAATCATTAATTTCTATCCATATATTTTAACATT